CTGCTGTAATCTCTTTTGTTTATTGTGCTGTTCGAGCTGCCACTGTTGCAGGTTTTCTTGCAACTGCTGTTTTCTCTCTTCTTGTTTCTTTTCTTGTTTATTTTCTCGTTCTTCTTGTTTCTTTTGCTGTTCTTGTATTGCCGCCATCAAATCTGCTAAGCTATAGTTTGATTTGCCGCCTCTCGTTTCCATCTTCTCTTTTTTTCTGTCCCACTCTCTGACTCCAATTTGTTACGTCTCTAGTCGTTAGTTAATTTTCCGTAAAAATTCTTTCCGAAGAAACTTTAACGATACAAATCCTTTCTTAAATAAAACTGATTTATTTTTTCTGAATACAACTTTGCAATACACTTAATTTCCACGGTCATGCTATAGTTTAAACAAACGCTATGATTCCCCACGAACGACTCACGCGTGCTCGACTCAATTGTCAATCTCTCTCTGTCTGCAGTTCAATTACATTGTTGCTGTGACTTCTTGGCAGCTTATATACAAGAATACCGCATATCTAGTAACGTCTCGAGGCTTCAGGAAGGGACTTGAACGTTCTAGAAGCGCATGACGTGATACTAGAGTCACGTGACCTCCAATGTCGTAACAATATAAATCACAAACAGCAGAGGACCAAGCACAGAGCCCTGAGGCACACCTCTTGTAACTGTGATCCAGTCAGATTTAACTCCATTTATTACTACTTTCTGCTTTTTACTATCCAGCCAATTTTCTATCCAATTTGATAACATTTCCCCACACCTACAGATTTAATTTTTGTAACAAGTCTTTTGTGAGGCACCTTATCAAATGCTTTCTGAAAATCAAGGTAAACCAAATCCACAGTATTTCCTTCATCAACTCTTGCAGTCACAGTCTCGAAGAATGTCAGAAAATTTGTTAAACAAGACTTCCCTAAGTGAAACCATGCTGGCTTTTTGACACTATATCAAACTGTTTTAAGTGACTCAGCAATGCATCTTTAATCACACTCTCCAAAACCTTTCCAACTACTGATGTAAGAATAAATGGCCTATAATTGCTTGTAACATGTTTATCACCTCCTTAAATATTGGACTAACATTAGCCAACTTCCAATCTTCTAATTCTCTTCCACCACTCAATGATCTATAAAAATGTTAGCTAGTGGTTCACAAATAAAATCTTTCAGTTCCTTTAAAATTTGGGTAAAAGTTGTCTTGTCCAGGGGATTTATCAATTTTTAGGATTCCCAACTTTTCTCAAACAATTTCAGAACTTAAAATGACATTTTTACATCAATATTTTCCCCATACATTAAGTGTTCTGGTTGAGGCATAATACTTGTATCTTTCTTCGTAAAAACTGAAGAAGACATATAGTTTACCATCTCATAATCTTCCAAGATCAGCTCCTCACTATCATTTTTAAGAGAACGAATCACCATGCTAACATTTTTCATATCCATCACATACCTAAAGAACTCCTTATTCCTTATTGTTTGATTTAAACCAAAAAAGTAAGAAAACAAGGTAGAAATGGGCGGGAAAACATTTCAACACTTGGTGATTTTTGACATGGTGCAACCTCAAAGTAGGTGTGGCCATCATTTCTACTTGGTGTGCTTCTTGTAATTTGGTAATTGCTCAAACTAAATGAAAGGTGTATATAACTAAATTTCTCTGTTGTAAACAGTGTTTCAGCAACCAAGTACAGATATATGTATGTAATAAAATTACGTGACCTTAAAGAAATGCGTGACATTATAAGAGGATGTTTGATGTCGGAAGTAAAACGGGAAGCTCCAGTAGTCATAGTTTACTTATGTTAGACAATATAGCTATCTGACTGGTAAGGAGTGGGCCAAAAGAATAGTATCAAGACAGCTTATTTTTGAATATTTGAAATTTATTAAGTATTAAGAAAGAGTTAACTACTGATAAAACTCAGTTCAATAATTGGATCAAAGTTCAAGGTAAAACATGAAGTAGGAATGAGCGGAATTATGGCCACACCCACTTTTAAGTGCACAGTGTCAAAATCCACCAAGTGTTGTAATGTTACCTGCCCATTTCTACATTGTTTCCTTACTTTTTGGTGTTCTCATTCCTACTTCCTAATTTTTTATTAATTTTTTTTTACACTGATCTCATGGCTTTTTTTGATATTAAGCCTCCAAATCGATGAGGGCTATCCTTCTTATAGCTTTTCTTAGAGCTATCTCTCGACATTTCCTGGCTTTTGCTGATATCTTTGCTATAATTTTTCTTCCATCTAGCCAGGGTGGCAGCCTTTTCTTTGGCTGGATTAGTGGCTAAGGTTTGTTTCACACATTAAGCATTACTGTTTCTAACCTTATCTCTATTCTTGCAGCAATACTCTCTTCGCTGGGACAAAGAATTTTCAAGGTTATAAACATAAGATTTTAGCTAAAAAATGATTTATTGTCTTTTACACAAGGAGGATACATTAACCATTGATTTAATCAGCCCCAGACAACGGCAAGCCCCTTCCAGACCACGCAGCTAAACCCTCATGCAGACATCTTCAGTCCTGTTAAAAGTCACATCCCAGATATGAATGTCAGTAATAGGAGTGATCCAGTACGAAGGAAGCCACAGGAATTCGCTGGGAAGGCACAGTGAGAAGCATATAGAGCACAATTTGAGCTACTGGCAGAAATGAATGGATA